TGACGGTCTGAGCAGGGGGTTCGTTCTGCTTTATAATACCATGTTGGTACGTTGAGAGCAATGCAGGGAGCAGCAGGCGCGCTTCTAAGGCCTCGAGTATGCATCGCTCGACGGGAGGCGTGCTAGTGCAGACGGTGCGCAGGAAGATGAGGGTGCACTCGAGATGGTTCTCCACAGGGAAATCGAAGTCTTGCGTGAGGAAGGCATGCACCATCCGCGTTAGCGCGCCGACGGCTCCGCACTTGACCAGGGGGAGCAGCAGGCCCTGCTGGTCGTCGTGTATCTTATAGATGAGCTTCATAGGCACTTTGTAAAGGAGTTCTGTGTGCAGAGGGTGGGCGAAGAGGAAGTTGAGGAGCTTGACAATGAAGAATGCGAGATGGAACTGTGTCCCTCCAACGCCCTCGGCCCAGTCACCGAGCTGTATACAAGGGTGAAACAGGGTGAAGAGGGTGCTGAGGTACATTCCAGTTGCATCTCCGCGTCCGAGGGCGTTGACCATGGCTCGACTAACGAGAACCTGAACACCTGGAGTAGCCTCAATAACGGCGCGAACGACTGGGTCACCGGGATAGACGGCTACTCTTGCCACAGAGTGTGTGTTGGTGGCATGTCCAAAGTAGAGGAAGCAGACAACAACGATAAGATTAGAGCACACCGCGTCCTCGGTCGGGGCGGGATGCGGCAAGCAGGATGAGTGGAGGAAGATAAAGCGGATCCAATCCCACAGGAGCGGCCAGATGTGGACAATGATATTCGCAGGGAGTGGGAGCCGAATCTGCGTTAAGATGAGGATTGCGGTATACACCTGATCAAGCGTTTTCGCGGTGCCTGCGGTATCGAGTTCGTCCGTCGTCGGCATCTGCGCGCTTTGGAGCACTGCGTAGACGACCGGGAGAAACAGGTGAGTGGTATGAGGGTCTGTACAGTCGACGATGAAGCTAGGAATGCGGGAAAGAGCCTTTTTCGACCCAGATGCGGCGTCTCTGGCGGGAGCCTAGGCGAGCGAGTGAGGGAGCGAAATCCGAAGAAATGCTTGGGAACCCACTCTGAATTGTGCGGGAAGTAGCTCGAGCTGGCTGAGCTGGAGCTCTAGTGGAACGGCGGCCATGGAGAGAGCGGGTGAAAAAACGATGGGTCGTGGACGAAGAAAAGAAGCAAGCCACGTTTCAAACTCCGCGTGATGGGCACGCTGATAGCCGCTTCCAGGCTGGCTGCCGTTTCTGGGTTCAACACCTTCACAATTCGCGTGTCAACAGGAATCCTGAGGTGCGGGAGTCCGCTAAGAGTAGAGAATTGTGTTCCCGACTCATACTTCTGCCTCGCACCCCACATAGGCGCGAATTCGAAAATATGCGAGCCTCGTTATGGTTAGTCTCTTCTAAACAGACACTACAACTGCTATCTCGTACCTCGACATGTTGTACGTTATGGTAGCAGCGATAAGAAATATGATTGCCAATTACGCTGCTGTTTTACCCCCAATCTATCCAGATAAATGCCACAGTGCACTCCTCTCAGGCTCTGACCTTCCTGAATAGCGATGCAGTTCAAGCATAGGCCGCCCGCGCCGTGCCTCCGTAATAAAAGACGTTTTAACTCTTCATCAGTCGGAATCACTTACCTCCTCTTTCTCCTTCTGGTTCGGGATTAGGTGAGGTATTGTATTTCCCCGAATTAATACGTATGCATCCCCAGTGCATCCCACAGATTGATTTTGGCAACACCATGAAATTCAATATTGACGCACCTCAAGTATCTAGCACTAGGACTGAAGCTCAATGGACAGCGCAACAGAGACTTGAAGTACTATGCAGAGTGGCCAATTTAGGGACTACTTACACGGGAGAGCGCGACGATGTTAGCTTTAACTTTGTAGTTGGAGTTAGTGGGCCGAATAAACGTGGACTGATTCCGAGTCCACCCCCTTAGCTAGCACGTCAGAGTCGGACAGACACCAATTCAGATTTTCGCTTCCTGTTTGAACATCTCTTGCCGAATATCTCGACCTTCAATCGCGGACACGTGACCGGAACGCGTCCAGAGCCGTCGCCATATTAAGGACAAACATCTCAGTTGCCTTCCCGTAGAACGTTGTGAGGTTTATATTGTAGAATATATCTTGTCTAGTTCTCCAAACGATCCCCAAATTCAATGCTCTTCACGCAAGAAAATTTATCGTGCTACATGGCAGTACATGGATACGAGGAACATAGTTACGTTGGCTCTCCAAGAAATTCTCAAACCATCTGAAACTTGCGGTCAAGAAAGGCATCCCTCGCAGTGAATCTGAACCACATCCTGCGTCGCGTTGATCAGCTCCGCGACCCCCCGCTCGATTTCCTTCGACAACGTCTTAACCTTTACCCCGACCGGAAGACTCCTCGCAAGCGCCCGCAGCCCAACCTGCACATCCGGACGACTCGATCGCAAGGGAAACAGCCTCTCCCGGCCATTGCTGCCGTCCACGGCCTGATGAGGCCGAGTAGGGTCCAATACGTGCAGGAGATGTATCTGCATGCGCCCACCGCTCCTGCGCGCGCGTGCCGCGGAGTCGGCCCAGAGAGGGTTGTCGCAGGGGAGGCTCTTGAGTGGAAACACGCCGAAGGCTAACCTCGGAGGCGCCGTGTAATCGAACACGCAGTAAAAGTCAGCATCCGGGTTCCTGTACATGAACTCAACCTGCGCCCGCCATAGGCCGGGCACCATTTGCTTGAAGTCAGCGTCCAAGATGGCGCGCATGAATCCACGGTCGGCGAGGGTCCCGGGCGCGGCTTGGGCTAGGTTTAGATTTTGTGAGTGCCTGGGAGAATTCGAGAAGGAATAAATGATAACATACATTTTTGCAGGGATTTGCAGACTTTGCGATGTCCGTCGTCGCGCCAATCGACCATCTGGCAGTCCGTAGAGCAATACGAACGCTTGCAGCACTGCGAACATCGCCGGAGCCGCGATTTGTCCAAGATGACACCGCACTAAGAGTTGAATTAATGCCGGCGTCGTCGTGGTGGAATTTCAGAAAAAAAATACCTTCATGTTGTCGCACGCTTGAAGTGAGCCTGCTTCCCCGGCATCGCACGCGTCCCTGACTCTACGCCGCTCCGTCAAGACCCTCGAGAAGCCTGCATCGGAAGACTGCGCCTTGCGGCCGTTTGCAATGAGGGCTCGCATCATGTGGAAGTATTCTGGCAAATGTATTTCGATCTCGACGGCAACGCGGTAGTGCACCAAGGATGCCGCGAGGACGCCGAAGAGTTTCGCGGTGGGGGCAGGGGGTTCCTTCCGCAGGCTTACGAGTGAGAACAATGCGGGGAGGAGGCGTGCCTGTAATGCATCAATTATGCACTGCTCGAAAAGGCGCGTGCTGGTGCAGACGTCCCAGATGACGCCGAGGGTACACTCGAGGTGGGACTCGACTGGGAAGTTGAAGACTTGCGTGAGGAAGACATGAACCAGCCGCGTGAGTGCAGCGATGACTCCGCGTTTTTGAAGGGCAAGTAGCAGTTCTGCGTTATTACGAGCTTTGTCGATAAGGCTCAGAGGGGCGTTGTAGACTGTTTTCAAGTCAAGAGGGTGGGTGGAGAGGAAGTCTAGGAGCTCGACAACAAGGGATGCAAGACGCCACTGCGTCCCACCGGCGCCCGCAGCCCAATCGTCGAGCTGTATGCGAGAGTGGAATTCGATGAAGAAGGTGCTGGGATACAAGGCAAGAATGTCCTCGCGGGCGATCATGAAATCGCGGAGCAAAGCCTGGCCAACATGAAGCTGACCGTCTAGAGTGCTGTCAAGAACCCCGCAGACTTCGTCGGGGCCAGCGAGACCGGCGAAAGGGGTAACATCGGTGAGAGGCCCGACATGAAGGGAGGAGACGACAGCGACGAGCTCAGAGCACAGCGTGTCCTCGCTCGGGGCGGGATGCGGCAAGCAGGACGGGTGGAGGAGGATAAAGTGGATCCACTGCCACAGCAGCGGCCAGATGTGGACGATGATATGCATAGGGAGTGGGGGACGAATCGCCTTCAAGATGAGGATTGCGGTATACACCTGGTCAAGCGTTTTCGCGGTGCCTGCGGTATTGTGTACGTCCGTCGTCGGAATCTGCGAGCTTTGGAGCACTGTGTAGACGATTGGGAGGAACAAGTGAGTGGTATGAGGGTCTGTAGAGTTGTTGATGAAGCTAGGGATGCGGGAAAGGGCTTTTTTCGACCCAGATGCGGCGTCTTTGGCGGCGGCCTAGGCGGGCGAGTGAGGGAGAGAAATCCGTAGAAATCCTAGGGAACGTACCCGGAATTGTGCGGGAAGTAGCTCGAGCTGACTGAGCTGGAGCTCTAGTGGAATGGCGGCCATGGAGAGACCTGGTGAAAAAACGATGGGTCGTGGACGAAGCAAAGAAGCAAGCCACGTTTCAAACTCGGCTTGATGGGTCAAGCCTGATCGCCGTTTCCTGCCGTTTACGAGTTCAACTCGACAATTTGCGTGTCGATCGAGTAGGGGGTCGCATTCGTCCCTCCTCAACTCGGTGGTCCCACTTCCACGGAATAAATATTGGGTGTGCGCCGTGCACCACGTCCGAGATACCAGTGATTTTTCCGGGAAACGTTGCGTGAGCAGTTTCAAGATCGGAGCCAACAAAAAATTCCGAAATGCAGACGGTCGTATTCCGACGCCACCAGTGTGCACCGTGTTAGCTTTTTTGAAATCCGAGCCCAAAAAGCCCCAATTTGCATAACCATTCAAACGCTGGGAATCGAACCCGGTGGGCCACTTCAACTTCAAGACTCAAAATTCTGAGACTGTGGGTGTGCGCCAGCACCACGTCCGATCCATCTTGTTATCCATGTCAGGGGATGCAAGGATGAGATTGAATTTGATTCCTCATACGTACGCCGAATTGTTTCCTCGTACATGCACTGGTTGAAAAGATTATGGAGGTTGCATGATGAGAGGGACTACACTCAGAACAGCGAGAAAAATTTCAAAAGATGGCTGCCGGAGCATTATTCAGACGCCGGGAATTGAACCCGGTGTACCCACTTCGAAGTCTCTGCAACACGAAAGTGGCGTGGGGGTGCGCCATGCACCACGTCTGATGTATGGTTCCAATTCAGGGTAAGCTAGATGTGGGGATTCAAAAGCTAAATTCAAGTCAGTTTGCGTACTGTGTTGGCCGGATATCATAAAAAGTAGTACTCGCCAGCAAACTGCGTTAGAGACTGGCATAGACGTTGAAGCGTTATACTTTCCGGGTACTTAATGCAAACCTTGTCGTGAAACGAGGAGATGTCCTCATTGGCTGTTGGGGCGCTCTCCTCTCTGGGTTCATTCTGCTGTCCCATTCATGTATGCCTTTCATTCACTCTGACATTGTTCTTCGGGCGTTCAATTGACTTGATTCAGCAATATTCGATATTCATGGCTGTGAACATGGTATCATGCTCTTCCGGTCGTTGAGCCTACCCGTCCGACAGTTCAAGCTTTGTATGCGAGATAAATTACTACAGAAGGTTGAACTCGGTTGGACGCTACCGAATGCCTCCACCTGAGAAGTAAGTGGGGTCGACCTTTGTGGCTTGAGTCTGGTGTTCAGAGTCCAGGTCAGTCCGATATTTTCAACGGCAGTTTATCTTTAGTATCGGATGATTTACAAGGTGGAACTCGGCTATACGGATGCAAGTACTGCTACTGAATGACTCAACCTACTGCTGCGGTGCCACCAAAGGGCGGTTTCCCGATGGTGTCGGGTGATCTACACGGAAGATGAGCCGGTTAAGCCCATCCAGCATGTGCCTGGAGTGAGAAATGGAGAGAAGCAGCAAAACGCCGCACTTGCACGTCAATGTTGACAACGCGAATCTCTCATAGCCACCTAATTGACAGTGAGCGATCCGTAACTGAACTGAGTCAGAACAGCGCGCGTCGCCGAAGTGTCCGAGAATCATTGGACACGCTCCCCCTTGTTCTGGTTGAATTGGCCTCTCGCGGTCGCCGAATGTGTCTATTTTTCAACTCAGAATTTCCAACGAACTTCAAGTGGTATATTGAATTTCATCGCACGGATTCCAGGAAAAGAGCTGTAACTAAGCACGCTGTGGGGTCTTGTTGAGGTTCCCGTGGCGTGATGCACGAAAACGAACCTTGCCTTTTTGTAATGTGGCCTTCCGTTCATGGCCGAAAACCCGATGCGGAATAACGTTACCTGTCACAGTCGTGACTGACATCTCTTCACTTGCACCACCACAACGCCGCCTCCGCCTGGACTCGGGACAAGAGGTAACCGGTTGAGCGCGCTGGCAATTGTCGAACCTGACCTTCGACACAGGGTACTGCCAGGCAGGTTCCACCACCTAGGCCTAAACCCCTCCCAAACGATCCTTTGGTGTCCGCGTCAAAATTGTGCCGGGCATCCCAGCTCCAGCACCATCGCACCATTTGCAAGAATTCTCTCAGCGCTTCTCGCTGCACGACCGGCCTCTACTCTCCGGTGCGGTCGACGCGGGTATCTCATCGACCGGCCATTAATTCAGTTCCGTCAGCCCTTTGAGTAACGGGACGCCAGTGTAATACGCGCCCTTGGGAGCAGAACTTGTTTGTGCTATTCCTGAAACGCAGCCAGGGCATAATGCGGTGAAGATACCCCGCGACACTTATATAGTCCCCCTGGCGAACACTCACCACCAAGAACAACCTCTCTCTCGCAACACGTCAATGTTAACCCCTACCCCTACCCCGCCGCCGCAAAAATTCTTCTTGAGAGCCCGCAGGGCCTTCGTCGCATGTGCCGCCTGCCGCAAGGTACGCATCTCATTCCGTGTAATCACTCACCCACTTACGGTTGTCCCCCAGCGCAAGATCCGGGTACGAGCCAACCCACTTCCGATGTTGCCGGTTTGTTTTTTAACAACATGAAAATCAGTGTCGCGCCACGACGGCCGCGGATGGCACCTGCAAGGCGTGCACCCGCTGCTCACTCAAAGGCCTCACCTGCGAATACCTCATCCCCGAATCCACCTCCGGGACGTCCCACCCCACCGGCGCATGCCTCGCGTGCAGGTCAGTGTATTTATTTCAAACGTTACTCCGTGCTAACTCCGCAACCCCACCCCTTACAGGACGAGCAAGATCAAGTGCTCGCGCGTCGCCGACGGCGACACCACGCGCCCCTGCACCAACTGCGCGCAGAAGAACGCCACTTGCGTCGCCCCCTCCTCCGCCGATCCCCCCTACCGTAGCACTGACACGCCACCGCCGTGGCACCACCTCCAAACGCTCCCCCCACACCCATGGCACGGGCACGAATATGAGTACGAGTCCCAGTCCCAGCCGCGCCCCCGGCCGCACTCGTGCCCGCACGCCCACGCGGACGCGGACGCCGATGGGAGGTGGAGCCCGCGCCCCCTTGCACTGCGGTCGGCGGCGATTGTGGATCGGCTGGAGCGCCAGTCGGTCGGGTACCCGCTCCCGGGTCCGGGAAGACTGCTGCAAGTGCACGCCCCGCACCCGCAGCAGGGGCGCCGCGCGTCGTTCCCCAGCTATCCCGACCCGAGTCTGTATCCCATTGCAAGTCCCACGGATTACCAGCCGGAACTGGGGGCGTTTGTGGACGGAGGGCCGGGTAATGTGCCTGGGGTGGATTGGCAGAATATGGACTTGAATTTGAACTTCGACTTGGGCCGCCTCGGGCTGTTGTTCTTCGACACCTCCCAGCAACCCAATACGAACCATCCCGACGAGTGTTATTACGATAATTACGACTACCAGCAGTTGAACGTCTGACTATGAGGTGCGTCGCGTCCTCGGTTGCCGCATCTGCTCATGAAACGATAGATTTGGTTCGCGTTGGTCGCAATCTGTGTACTGGCGCTGTAAATAATTTAATTGCTTCCACGATTCCTCCTGTCGTCCTTACCACTTCGTGCGTTGGTACTTTTCATGTCACCGAATACAAACTGAGCTCCATTGTACAAAACTTCCTTGATTTCGAGAGTTTACCGATCAATGCAAACAGGGCGTGCCCATCAAGCGGAGTTTGAAACGTGGCTTGCTTCTTTTCTTCTCCACGACGCACCGTTTTTTCGCCAGGTCTCTCCATGGCCGCCGTTCCACGAGAGCTCCAGCTGAGCCAACTCGGTTTACTTCCCGCACAATTCCGAGTAGGTTCCCAGGCATTTCTTCGGGTTTCTCTCCCTCACTCGACCGACTAGGCCCCCGCAAAAGAGGCCGCATCTGGGTCGAGAAAGGCTCTTTCCCGCATTGCCAGCTTCATCGCTTCTTGTAGAGACCCTGTTACTACTCGCCTGTTCCTCCCGGTCGTCTACGCAGTCCTCCAAAGCGCGCAGATTCCGACAACGGACGAACTCGATACCGCAGGCACCGCGAAAACGCTTGGTCAGGTGTACACCGCAATCCTCATCTTGAAGGCGATTCGTCCCCCACTCCCTACGCATATCATCCTCCACATCTGGCCGCTCCTGTGGAAGCGGATTCACTTGATCTTCCTCCACCCCTCCTGCCTCCCGCATCCCGCCCCGACGGAGGACACACTGTGCTCTGATCTTGTCCACGTCGTCCTCTTCCTTTACCTCGAGAATGCCACCAACACATCTGCGGCAGTAGCACTCGCAGCCGCTGACCCAGCCGTTTGCGCGGTTATTGAAGCTACTCCAGGCGTTCAGATTCTTGTTAGTCGAGCCATGGTCAACGCCCTCCGCCGCGGAGACGCACCCGGGATGTATTTCAGCACCGTCTTCGTCGCGTTCAACTCCGACATTCAGCTCGGCGAGTGGGTCGAGGGCGCTGGTGGGACGCACTCACATCTCGCAGTCTTCATCGTCAAGCTCCTCGACTTCCTCGTCGCCGACCCTGGCCACGCCGAAGTACTCTACAAAGTTCCAATAGCGCTCATCGAGAAGAGCCGCTACGACAAGCACCTACTCCTCGCCCTTTTAAACTGCGGAGTCGTCGGCGCGCTAACGCGGATGGTGCATGCTTTTCTCACGCACCCCTTCGACTTCCCCGTCGAGGGGGACTTCATCTGGACGCTCTGCATGCTGCACACCGTCTGCACCAGCACGCCGCTCGTCGAGAAATGCATAATCGAGGCATTGCAAGCGCGCCTGCTCCCCGCATTGCTCACAACGTACAAGCGGGGCGTCATAAAGAAGAAGGAGTCCCCTTACACCGTCAAACTCTTCAGTGCCCTCGCTGCATCCCTGGTGCAGTACAGCGTCGTCGTCGAGATGGAAATATATATGCCGGACGTGCTTGACATGATGGTAGCCCTCCTCGCCAAAGGTTGGAAGGCGAAGCCGACTGGACACTCCGATGCAGGGTTCTTCTTCATGTTGACGGACCGGTGCCAGGTCAGGAGTGCGTACGACGCCGGGAAAGCAGGCTCGCTCCAAGCGTGCGACAACATGAAGGTATCAATCCGGTGAATCCCACTCCGCCGTCTGAACGACGACGCTGATATTGAATTATTCAGTGCGGTGTCATCTTGGGCAAATCCCAGCTCCGACGATGTTCGCAGTGCTGCCAGCGGTCGTATTGCTCTACAGACTGCCAGATGGTCGATTGGCGCGAAGAGGGACATCGTAAGATCTGCAAATCGCTAAAGTGTACGCCAATCCCATACCCCCGCCCCGAATTTAACTAATAACCAAGTGCTTACGAACTCCCGTCTCAGCCCAAGCCCCACCCGGGACCCCCGTCGACCGCGGATTCATGCGCGCCATCCTGGACAAGGAATTCAAGGAAGGGATGCGCCCAGGCCTGTGGCGCAGGCAGGTCATGTTCATGTACCAGAACCCGGACACGGACTTGTACTGCGTGTTCGACTACTCAGCGCCGCCCAAGCTGGCCTTCGCCGTCTTTCCGCTCAAGGACCTCCCCTGCAGCAACCCGCTCTGGGCCGACGCCGCGGCGCGCGCGGGCAGAAGCGGCGGGCGCATGCAGATCCATCTTCTGCGCGTGTTGGACGGCAGCCCGCACCGCAACATCGCGAACGGGAGCAATGGCCGCGAGAGGCTGTTTGCGTTGCGCTCGAGTCTTCCGGATGTGCAGGATGGGCTGCGGGCGCTCGCGAGGAGTCTTC